CACAGACCTGGAGATGAGTTCGCACACAACACATTCACCCTTTATACTACGTTTCAACACTGTAATTAAACACTGCAGTTCGTCACTTGCACAGACCTGGAGATGAGTTCGCACACAACACATTCACCCTATATACTACGTGGTTACTGAACAAAACGCCGGAACACCAGAAAAAAAAAAACAAAAAACAAGCCTGAAAAACAATGGAGGTCTCGCACACATAAGCAACTTGAAACAAGTACAAACTAGAAAACAAACAACAATTCAATACAGGATGCACAGACATGTTTTCACAAAACAAAATTTAAAAAAAAAAAAAATTAGAAATTTTGCACATACCTATGGCCGGAGCCTCCATTTTTTAGTTCGATGTAGTGAAACAGGCGCTGCTCCGACAAACTGTATGGGGATGGCTTGCGTTAAGGAATCATCACAATAGCAATACTACTACATTACCGCTAATATATATTAGAATCACCAAAAATCGGATGATAATCATGGAATATATTCCATATAATTTCTCACCATAAATACTTATTAGATTACAATTACTTATTCACCCTTATGACTATTCTATCTTATAGAATCAATACAAATTCTAACTCAATCTCACCATTAAATATTTATTGATCTAATGGATCTGATTAGATCTCATACACCCATCTAACTATGTGACCTCATGGGATCCGGAGCCTATATATATATATATATATATATATATATATGGAAGGGTTCAGGTGTGCATGGATGGCTTCCCGTGCGGTTGACACACCTTAAGCATTAAAATGGCGCACATTAAGTACATAAATCACGCACCTTAAGTATTAAAATGGCGCACTTTAAGTACATAAATCATGAACCTTAAGCATTAAAATGACGCACCTTAAGTACACAAATCATGCACCTTAAGCACACAAACAAAGCACCTTAAGAAGACAAACAACGCACCTAAGGTTTTAAAATGGCGCACACTAAGTTTCAACAACTGACCCATAAGCATACAAATCACGCACCTTATGAAGGAAAACAACGCACCTTAAGCTTTAGGTTGACGTACGCATCTTAAGTTTCAACACTGACGCACCTTAAGAAGGAAAACAATGCACCTTAACAACCGCACAACGTAACCGCACTTGAGAAGACCAATCGCACAGGAACATATATATATATATATATATATATATATATATATATATATATATATATATATAGGGTCGCGTTCAGGTGCGAATAGGTGCCCAGGAAATAAATGCGAACTAATCAGCGCGCGCCACGTGTCAGCATTCATTGATTGGGTGCACCTACTTTCACCTACAAGGGCACTTACTTTCACCTGCAAGTGCATGTAGTTTTTGCTTGCATTCATTGATCGGGTGCACCTACTTTCGCCTGCAAGTGCATGTAATTTTGCCTTGTTAACATTCATTGATCTGAGTTCGTTCTGTTTGGCATCGTTTTTGTTCTTGCGGGGAGTTCAGCGAGTAGTAGTACCCGTGAAAACTAGATCTGGCAATTCGTGTATACAGGCCCGTTAACGGGTCGACACGATAACAACACGAACACGATAAGGCTAAACAAGGACACGACATGTTATGGTTAACGGGTTTAAATTTTTAACACGAACACGATTTGTTAACGGGTTAAATGGGTTGACACGATAGACACGTTTTGTTAACAGGTTTCAAGTCGTGTCGACACGATATGACACGAAACCCGTTTAAACCCACTATTTCTATTAATATATATATTTTTTAAAAAAAATTAAAATTTAAAGTTAAGTTCTATAAGAAAAGAAATAAAATCTACAGTTCAATCATCAAACAAACTAAAAAATATTTAATCCATAACATTCATAAAATGATAAAATAACATTGAAAAATCATAATTAAAGAAGTCCATACTAGTTTTTAGAATCAAATTGAACACGATAAAAATTCAAATTTCAAATTGTTGAATGGTGTAGGATCTTGGCCTAATGTAGTAAATCCATCCTTAGTCATGTTCATAATATCTTTTCTAATCTGATTCATGACCATGGTTCTTACCTAAATGGCAATGGTTCTTAGCGGGTTACAAACAGGTTTAGTAAACGGGTTCGTGTTAACGGGTTAACACAATAATATTAACGGGTTAAACGGGTTGACCCGTTAAGACACGAAATATAACGGGTCTTTAACGGGTCAACCCGTTAAGGACCTGAGACACGTTAAGGCTAAACACTAACCCGTTATTTTCATGTCCGGTTTTGGTGTTGTGTTAACGGGTCATGTCCGTAATTGCCAGGTTTAGTGAAAACCACCCGCAAACATTCATGCACCTAAGTGCAACTACTTATAACTATAGTTGCAACTACTTCTAACTATAATATAAGGGTCCGTTTGGAAAGCAGGAAAATGACTTCTGGAAAATGAGTCATTTTCCGGAAAACATTTTCCTTTCCAGTGTTTGGTTGCATTATGGAAAACTGTTTTTCTGTGTTTGGTTCATTTTCTGGAAAATGAGTAGAATTGTATAATTAAACATTTCAATTATTTTATTTAGAATATTACAACATGTATAATAATATATAATAATATAATATTAATTTTAAATATAATAAAAAATAGCTAAGTTTTTCAAAAAAAAAAAAAAAAACTAATAATATATCAAAAATATTATGGTGGTGGTGGTGGTGTAGTGGTAGTGGTTTTATTCGTTATATAATAATAATAATAATAATAATAATAATAATAATAATAATAATAATAATAATAATAATAATAATAATAATAATAATAATAACAATAAAAATAAAAATAATAATAACAATAATAATAATAATAATAATAATAATAATAATAATAATAATAATTGGTGGTGGTATGACGGTGGTGGTGTGGTGGCGGTGGTATGGTGGTGGTGGCGACGGTGGTATGGTCGTGGTGGTGGCGGCGGCGGCGGTGTGATGGTGGTGGCGGTGGTTGCGGTGGTATGGTGGTGGCAGCGGCGACGGTGGTTGCGGTAGTATGCTGGTGGTGGCGGCGACGGCGGTAGTGGTGTTGGTGTGATGGTGGTGGTAGTATGACGGTGGTGGCAGTGGTCGTGTGGTTGCGGTGGTGTGAAGGTGGTGGTGTGGTGGTGGTGTGGTGGCGGTGGTGTGGTGGCGGTAGCGGTGGTATGGTGGTGATGGCGGTGGCGGTGGTATGGTGGTAGTGGTGGCGGCGATGGTGGTTGTGGTGGTATGGTGGTGGTGGCGGTGGTAGCGGCGACGGTGGTTGTAGTGGTATGGTGGTGGTGGTGGTGGTGGTGGCGGCGACGGTGGTTGCGGTGGTATGGTGGCGGTGGTTGCGGTGGTATGGTGGTGATGGCGGCGGCGGTGGTATGGTGGTAGTGGTGGCGGCGACGGTGATTGCGCTGGTATGGTGGTGGTGGTGGTGGTGGTGGCGGCAGCGATGGTGGCGGTGGTATGGTGGTGGTGGTAGTGGTTGCAGTGTTGGTGGTGGTTGTGGTGGTGGTGTGATGGTGGCGGGGGTATAGTGGTGGTGATGGTGGTATGGTGTTGATGATGTTGGTGGTGGTGTGATGTTGGTGTAAAAGTTGGAAAATGACTTCCCCCCAAAAAAAGGGGAAGTCATTTTCCTCCAAAACAAGCCTATTTTCCAAAGTCAACGGAAAATGATTTCCGTTGACTTGATTTTCCAGGCACATCCAAACACTGGAAACTTGGAAAATGATTTCCAGAACTCATTTTCCAGGTTTCCAAACACACCCTAAGTGCACTTAGTATTGATGCTCAGTGTAAATTTTACTTGCACCTATAATACATTTTACATGTACTTGTAATACATTTTACTTGCACTTCGATGTTCAATTATTTACGAAAATACCACCGCATTTTTTTTAAAATCAGTGTTTCTCATCCATTAGATCTGGACACATGGAGTGCAATTATATATATATATATATATATATATATATATATATATACACACACACACACACACACACGTTAATTTTATTTGTACAAAATAAAAATGAAAAAAATAAATTTAAGTTAAAAAAGAATTTAGAGATACAATTATTAATTTAAAATTTAAATAAAAAAATACAAATTAATTTTATAAATTATATGCTATTAATTTCTCAACCATTAGAATGGAATATGTCTTGTGCGAGGTCATCTCGTGCGAGATATATTTTAAAATTTATAAATAAATTTTATAAATTTATAGTTTCATACAACAAAATAGAGATCAATACATAAATTATAACATTTGAAAAACTAGTCTAATAGTATTATTTATAAATTATACAAAATGAAAACATATATATATATATATATATATGTAATTTGGTTAATCAATCGATTAATTCGATTAATTGACACTTTTGAACTGAATTAATCATTAATCAAAATTTTAAAAATTCTTAACCACTAACAAAATTGAAATATTTTAGTTCAAAAGTGGTTAATTAAAATTTATCGAATCGATTTTCACCGAATTATACACCCCACAAATAACAAAAAAGGGAAGCCAAAGGTTGTATCCTTCTAATGAATATTGAATACTTGTAAGCAAATCATGGGCTCAGTCTAGATGGTAAATTGTTGGTGGGTTGACGGCAAATTATACTCTGGATCGCGGTTTACAATGTATTGATTCTTTGTGCTTCATTAAGTTGAGAAATTAGTTTATGAACAGATACTACATTGTAATAGAGTCAGTAGCATTCAAAAAAATAAATAAATTGGTGTATAAATATACTAGGAAAAGTAGGAAATATATCCTTTATTGTAAATTTGGTGCAGAATTATGTGTTTTGGGTGGAGATGGCCTTTGTTATTAAATATACAAAAACAAGTACTTCTTCTAAGACATAGTGGTTCTATGGTGTAGTGGTTAGCACTCTGGACTTTGAATCCAGCGACCTGGGTTCGACTCCCGGTAGGACCTTCGATTTTCATTTTTCTGATTCATTTCCAATTGTTAATAAGTTTTTTTATACCAATTTTCTGTTCGCAAACGCGACTGATTTTCTTCTCCCTCGAGTTATCCAAATCCAGATTCCAATGGCCGCAGCGTCGCCTGAGAAAATCCAAGCTCGTCACTCCATCAACCACCTCTCCTACTTCTTTCAATCCACCGCCTCGAATCTACACTCTCTCATCAACGCCAATACGCCGTCGTCTTTTCCGTCTCATACCGCCCCTCCTCCCCGGCCGGTCACCCCTCTTCTCTTCTCGGAGTCCACGCCGCACCCGCCCCCGTTATTGCACTCTTCCCCTTTCGAATCGCCTGACTCCAACTCCTCGTGTCCAACTCCGTCGTCCGCAATCAATGGCATGTCTTCTAGGTCCGATTCTGGATTCCCCGGCCCGGTTAGAATTTCCGGTCTAAATCCCGGCGGAAAAGGCGGGCCGGCTTTTGTCGGCCAGGTTTTCAGTATGTGCGACCTTTCAGGCACCGGTCTTATGGCTGTCTCCACGCACTTCGACATTCCCTTTCTGTCTAAAAGGTATTCCTATCTTCTACTATATACTTGTGAACATAGTATGGCTTCTCAGGAGTATCATTTTATCTTAAGCTCAGCGATTCTTCTGATGAGAAGTTGAGATGGTTAAATTTGAAAGCGGTGAGTGATTAATGATTTGTGAGTTTAAACTCTGTTATAATTAATTCGAATCGAGCTGGAGAAGTTCGCAAGCAATGATTGATTAGAATTTAGAAATATATAAAAATTTCAATTTTGTAGACGGAGTAAGGTGTATGTATATACTGTTTCTAATTGAATTAGTTCTACCTCAAGTTCTCTGCGAATGCGGCAATCATTCAATGGCATAATTACCGAATATGGAAGCTTAAATAGTGACTTTTTCATTTGTCGTTTACTTAGTGAAAAAGTTTGCTTGTATATGCTGCAGAAAATTGAAAATGGTAAATTCGTTAGAAGATGCTTCTGTACTTTATATGTCTTACCTTATATTTTGGTTTTGGGATGATTTACCCTGTTTAATAGGACACCAGAGTGGCTCAAGAAGACATTTGCAGCAGTTACAAAGAGTGAAAGAAATGGCCCTGTGTTCCGTTTTTTTATGGATCTGGGTGATGCAGGTTTGTCTAGTAATACTGTGATATTTGGTGTTCTTTGTTGTTTTGATTATTGTCCTCCAAGGATTTTGAGTTTCATTCTATTTATTAGGGTGCTTTTCCCAATCTCTCTGCTATGTGCATGTGGCTAGTGGCTACATTTTGTTCCCAAAATATGTTGGAGATTTCTCACACTTTTGACAAACTTGTTTTTCAGTATCTTATGTCAAACGGCTGAATATTCCAAGTGGTGTGGTTGGTGCATGCCGCCTTGATTTAGCATACGAGCACTTTAAGGTACTTGATTTCTCATTTTGAGAAGATGAGTATTATAGATAAAATGTTATGTATGATTTGTTATGAGACAATTCCATTTTTATTGACCTGTCAAGTTTGATGATGGGAAATATTTTTTGGCAACCTGATGATCAAGATATGTTCTTTAATTCTTACAGTTGTCTGCTTCTTAAGTTGAATGGTTCTTTCCAAGAAATAGTAACTAAGCAATGTTATTATTGGAAAAATTATGTTAAAAGACTACATCTATTTAATTGTTACTTCAAGATCTTACTTTCTTTTTTATATATTCATTTCTTTTTAGACAATTCAATCACTATTTGTGATGTGTTTTGCAGAAAAAACCCCAGTTATTCCAATTTGTTCCAAATGAAAAGCAGGTTAGTTGTAAGCACCTTTGAACTCTTGGTGGAAAAAATACACATTTTTAAAAATTTTCATACACAGACACTATCTGAGATGACTGCTAAATGATCAAACACTGTAAGTGCAGGTCAAGGAAGCCAATAAACTTCTCAACACAATGCCACAGAATGGTAGAAGGAAGCGTGTGGATGGTGTTCCTGTTTTTAGTGCTCGAAACCTGGATATCGCAATAGCTACAAAAGATGGTGTTAAATGGTAAGTTTATCTACACTTGCTCATTTTCAAGTGAGGTTAGCATCAATCTGAAAAGTCACCATGATTTTTGTTGATCTCAGGTTAATTAATTTAGTGTTTTTGTTGTTGTTGTTGCAAATTTTGTTATTGAGACAATAATGTAGAAATGTAAAATCTATATAACCTGTGCCAACTGGCTTGGATAAAACTCATTGTTCAGTTAGGTTGCTTTAGTGAATTTTTGGATTGCTTAGGTGCTTGCCTCTTCCTTTATTTCTGAAAATAGATAAATTTTCATTATTTTGTTTTTTTCTAGCATTAATAAAAGAATATGCATTCTAAGCAAAATGTTTTGCTTTTCAAGTGAAGAGCTACATGCCCACAATTTATTGGAGTATAACCATGGCATTTTTTCTTTCCTATCAATGTTATATAATATCGGAATTCATTTTCTTTCTATCAGGTATACTCCTTACTTCTTTGACAAGAGCATGCTAGACAACATCCTCGAAGATTCAGTTGATCAGCATTTCCATTCATTGATTCGTACAAGACACTTTCAACGCCGGCGGGGTGTTATGGATGACAATATTGGCAATATTGCTTCTGATTTAGTTGAAGAGATGGATAATAGCATATGGGAACCTCCAGAGGAACAAAAGTTGGATAACATATGGGAGCCTCCAGAGGAACAAAAGTTAGATAGCACATGGCAGTCTCCAGAGGAACAAAAGTCAGATAGCATATGGGATCCTCCAGAGGTACAATTGTACAAAAGTCAATCTTTGTAGTTTGTCCTCAGAACTATTGCAATATGAAAAAGAAAAGGAGAGAAATATTCATTATTCTGTTGTAGAGGCATGAAATCCATATGTCTAAACAACTAAAATATGGGAAACCAGCATTCCTGACTGCCGAGGGATAGGGAGAAGAGGAGAGATTGGATAAAAGAGAATATATAATGGTTATATTGGCGATCAGTTTGCTTTAATAGCAGTTTGGTTTCAGGTTACTGGTTACCCATGCTGTCCTTTCTATCTTTTACTTTTCTATTTCCAAGGGACAAGGGCATGTTTGAATCAGTCTAATGTGTGTGATAAGTAACTATATCTTGAATGGATTGGCTTAGTTAACCAAGCTAATGATGGTGTAAACAGCTTCAGGAGGCAATGAATGAAATCTTCCCAGATTTTCCTTTGATGAGTGCCATTTCAAAGGTTGCTGAAATTAAGCTCCTAGATGCTGTTGATGAAGTTGTTCTGGGGAATAGATGGCTCCGGAAAGCAATTGGAGTTCAACCAAAATTTCCTTACATGGTTGACTCTTTTGAAAGAAGGTGATTTTAAATCTTATTTTTAAAAATTTGCCACAGTATTTTTGTTGTTAAATTGGGCATGGTCAGTTATTTAACATATGTAGAATTAATTTTTGTGTGATGCCATAGCCAAATCTAGTTCCCCCTGAAATGTGCTGAATACCATAGTAACGGATAATGATCTGTTAATTTCGTTGCTTTTCCACAACCCTAAGCTTATTCATTGCAGGAGTGCAGCTTCTCTCCAGAGAGCATGCAAGTCATCCAGTATTGATGCCATATCCGAGTCAGATAAACAATTAAATTGCATAGGTTCTTCAGCAAACAAAATGGATTCTGTACCAGATAAGCGAAGGCTGGATCTCCATTACCCTTTTAGTGATTGGTTGTCTCTTCCCTGGCTAAACCAACAGCAGAGGCAAAATAATATTGCAGACAAAAAGTACCCATGATAATTGCTTCTACTATCTCTCCTTGTTGACATTTGTGAAATAATGTAACTGAAGCTTTTGTTATGCACATGGTCAGGGAAGTGAAAGGAAATGATCCATATCCATCTGCTTTTCTTCCAAAGATTACAATGGTTGGAGTGTCAATGGGGGTGCCTGGCCAGATGAACAAATCCACACTGAAGAAGACTATGGAAGATCTGACAAAAGAGTTGGAGCACAACGATCAAAGAAATCTTGCAGGAAACAACAATGAAACTTTGGTCTGTGAAGAGAGGGATCCCCTTTTTATAGCCAATATTGGCGACCATTTGAAGGCTGTTCAAAGGAAATTTTTTGCATCACAGTTTTGATTCAGGTTCAATAAATCACCTACCCAGTAATACAAGAGGTAAAGTTTTAGGAATGCAAATATCTGTTCCTTGAGGGGATAACTTCATTATCTGCTACCATTATTACATTGTTACAGCTAGTGGTGCAGATGGATGATGGAGATCATGTAATGATATGATGGTGGAGATGTTAGTTGAGGTATTTTCCCCCAAGGCCATGTAACTTTAACTGAATATTATTGTTACAAAGGCTCAGTTTTTGTAACTTGGAAACAAGGTAGCTGATATGCCTTGACACACCATCATCATTTTCATGTCATATTTCCTTGTAATATAAATTAGGCTTTATAATCTTATTAATAAGGATGCATTTGGTTCAGGTAATATAAGATTACCCAAGTAGGTTATGTGAATATGTTAAATGTTATATTACACAATCCTTATGCCATGGATCAGGGTTCACAACGCACTATGGACCCTGGTGTATGTGTATGTGTCTTATGTTGCGAGTTTTTGTGTTTTGTGTTTTGAAATTTTGTACTTAAAGTATGAATTATGTACTTGAAAAAAATTAGTAATTGTATCTTATGTTACGAATTTCTGTATCTTGTGTTGTGAAATTCTGTGACTATGAACACAAATTATGTACCTAAATTATATTTTAAAAATAAGTAAATATATAACATATGTATGTATCTTGTGTTGTGATTTTTTGTGTATTATGTTGTGAAATTTTGTACTTTAAGTGTTAAAATGACGCACATTAAATGTAGAATTTATGCACTCTAAGTGTAGAATTGACGCATCTTAAGTTTTGAAAATACACACCTTAAGCTTTACAATTACACATCTTAAGCTTTCAACAATACGCAATGATATTGTTAATTTCGTGTATGTAGAGTGTATATTGTATGTATGAACACTAATGTAGACAAGAGAAAGTAGAGCCAAGTGAGGTTCTTTTATTCATTGTTCTTGTTCTATCTTGTAGAGAGAAGGGAGAGGGTTGTACATTATAGAGAGAGAGAGAGAGTGTGTAGGGTAGGAAAGTGGAAGGAGAAACCCCTAAAATGGAGGGCTAAGGCCCTTTTTATAGGCCCAATCGAGATGGGTTTGACTTTGACCCGAACCGTTTGACCTGATCCAAATAGGAGCACGGAACGTACGGGGAGTCTGAACTCGAAGTATATTTCCCATCACACAAAATTTGATTAAATGGGAGACGGTTACTAAACCCAAAGATAGAGGGGGGCTTGGTATTTGGGGAATGCGAAATGTGAATATTGCTTTCCTTGCCAAGCTCAGTTGGAGACTTTTGAAAGAAGAGGAGCCTATTTGGACTAAAGTTCTGAGAGCCAAATACACAGGCAACACCCGTGACATTAATTGCTACCAGAACCTCAAACACATGGAAAGGCATCAATGCTGCGTTAGACATCATCAAGGAGGGAACTCAAATAGCAGTGGGATATGGAGAGGACACCAGATTTTGGACCCAAAAATGACTCTGTAATACTGATTTGAGTAAGCTTTCCTTGAAGCAGATTCCCCCTGACGAGTTCAATTCCACCGTTAGAGATTATTGGGATTTGGGATGATGATTTGGCTTTCAGTGTCACGTGTTTGCATATCTGGAAGTGGAGAAATGCTTTAGTGTCTAACAATGAGACTTCCCATGTGATCCAGAAAGCCTCTCGGATCAGGAACTATTGTAGAGACATTCAGTTTGCCTTTGCCAAAGGTTAGCCCCAGAGATACTCACCTACTGTCTAGACGAGGTTGCTTAGTTGCTGGAATAAATCGAAGAACGGGTGGGTTGTTGTGAACGTCGACGACAGCAACATCACTATGAGAATTGGATCGTGGGTTTCCAGAAGAGTCTTGGCGAGTGCTGCGCAGATGAAGCCGAAGCCTGGGCAATCCTTCCTGATTTTAAAATTGCCTGACAATTCGGTCACTCTAAGGTCGTTATTCAAAGTGACTCGGGGAATATAGTCCGTTGAATCAATGACTCCAAGTCCAGCATCAAAGGCGGTGGCTCCTTAAATAATATTGTGTCCGAATGTAGATCTTGGATGACGATGAATTTGGAGGTTCGTTGCTTCCACGTGCAACGGGAACAGAACCAAGGTGCCGATTAGCTCGTGAAGAACTGTGGCTTGAATCCTAACCTTGTGTTGTTCCCATGCTGTCTTAATAGGGATGTGGATTTGCTTATCCATAAGGATATTTTTGGGGTGCCTTTCGCTCGTGGGGATTGATTTTTGTGTTTTTTGTTCCCCGGCCTTCGCCCTTCATTTTATATATATAAAAAAATACAATATGCAAAATTATCATAATGTCACTGTATTTTTTTTAAAAATTTATCTTCATTCTAGGCTCTTGATTTTGTCAAGATCAATGACTATGATTAATCTGCATGTTTTGCCTGTGAGACATTTTGAAAGCGAATTGGATATAATAAATTTTGAGAAGTCACATCCACATTCAATCCACTAGTGATGGATTTTCAATAAATGGATCTACATCTCGTCCACTTTAAGTGAAAGTGGATGGGATGAGAGCAAATTTGGCGGATTGGACGAGATACGCCCACTTTAAGTAAAAGTGGATGTGATGAGAACAAATTTGGCGAATTGAACGAGATATGGCGGATCCTTGCTCACTCCTAATTGGTTTGCTTCAACTTTCAATAAAGCTTATCAAGAAGAAAAAAAAAACAGCATTTGTCTTAACTTATACCTTCTTTATTTCAATTTATTTTATATGACTATACTATATATCCATACATTTTACATAAACAAACATGTATCTTTTGATGCGATAATTACATAGGCCTTGTTTGGTAAAAAATTGGCCTATAGGTCAATTTTAGCTTATTTAATCACTATTAATTGTTTGATTTAGTTAAAATATCAATATAAATGTTTGGTTAATTAGCTTTTTGCAACTCCAAAAGGCTAAAATTAAAAAAGCTACTCCTAGCAACTTTTTCAATTAGCTTTTTGATAAAAGAAATTATACCAAACAGCTATCAGCAAACAGCTAATTTACCAAACACTTTTCTACAATCAGCTAATGTTATCAACTATTTATACTCTCTAATTAACACAATCAGCTAACATCCATTTTACCAAACAAGGCCATAGTTATTTCATGTTTGTGATGTCAAATTTTGTCATATCGGGGAGTGACGATTTGTGAATAGCAATTGTAGGAGTATTTAGCATATATGTATTGACTTGTTTGAATTTTAATTTTTATATTAATTTATTGAAATATTATTAAATACAATTTGAATATTTAGAAAGAACAAATTTTATTTTTAGTTGACGTAACATTATCATATTTAATCTTACTCTTTTAACTTCACCTAATTATTTGTCACAATTAATCTCAATTTAAAATTTTGTCATTTAACTATTTAATAAAAGTGGTTAACATGTAATTTCATCATTCAAACATCTTGTCCTAACATTTAATTTCTCCGCATATTAAAAGTGACGATTTTTCACTCTTTGATGTTAAATTAACATTTTTACCTTTAAAATAATTATTTCATTTATTTTTCTTTTTCAACAAATTATTGCTTATATGTATGGATGATTACGGTTCGATTTGAACCAAACTGAACACTATAACAACCGAACTGAAATAGTAAGGATGGTTCTTGTTACGATTCAGAAATGTAAAAAAATAAAATAATTATTGCATTTAGACTATTTTAAAAATAGAAAATAGAATTTAAATAAATAAATAAATAAATTTTGAATCGGCAGTTCAAATCGAAACTGGAACCGGAATAAATGCGAATTGGAACCAAACAAATTTGTAAACATTGTTTGTAAATGATAAATCTATTCAATTCCGGTTCGCATTTATTCTGATTCCAATTTTAAAAAAATTATTTATTTATTTATTTATTTTTGTAAATTTTATTTTCTATTTTAAAATAGTATAAATTCAACAATTATTTCATTTTTTCCGGCTCTATATTGTATTAAAACCATCCCTACTATTTCATTTGGATTGCTATAGTGTCTAGTTTGGTCCAAATCGAATCGTAGTCATCCCTACATATAAATAATAATTTATTGTAGAAGAAAAATAAATGAAATAATTATTTTAAGGGTAAAATGTCTATTTAACATCAAAGGAAAAAAATCGCCACTTTTAAAATAATTGAGGGGGCAAATGTGGATGCATGAATAGCACAGAAAAAAAAAATACTATTAGCTTATAATTCAGGAGGAAAAAATGTCATTTTCCCTACAAAATATTAATTTCAAATCATAAGGAAATAAAATAAAGAGTTAATTCTATATTTATTCCTCTAACTATTACTCATTATCAATTTTAATCATTGACTTTAAAAGTTACCAAATTTAGGTATTGAATATTGAATCATTTTCAAGTGTAATCCACTGTTGCCCTTTTTTGTACGTGAACTGTTAACATTGAGGGTAAAACTGAAAAATCATAACTATTTGTTGTGATGCAAATAGTGATCTATTAGTTAATAACACATTTGAGTGTTTTAATAGTCATGATTTTTCAATTTTACCCTCAATATTAATAATTCACACACACAAATGATGTGTGCAACTTCAATGTTAACCGTTTTCATAAACATTTTTATCCTCTGAAAGGTATCATAACAACAATTTTCAGTTTTACCCTCAATATTAATGATTCATACATAAAAATATTGACATTGATTATAATTAGAAATGATTCAATATTCAAAGAATAAATTTAATAACTTTTAAAATCAAGGATTAAAATTAGTAATAAATGATAGTCAGATAACTAAATCCGAAATTAACTTTAAAATATAGAATTAGAAATTTAAAATTTAAAATTTCTTTTAAAAAAAATAAATTAAAAAGATAATATAGGGACTCAATCATGGGCTTAAAGTGTAGATCGGCCCACTTTGTGCAAAGGGTGATTTTGTGAAACTCAACTCAGCCTATCACTTCGAAACTGTTTCCATTTCTCAATTTCAACGCTGAGGCCTGAGGGAGAGTGTGAGTGAGCGAGTTAGGAGCCGATTCCGATTTACAGATTGAGCGAAAATGTTTCTCCGGAGAATTGCGCGGCCGCTGATGATGGCGGCGAAAGTGAAGGAGACGACGGGGATCGTCGGGCTAGAGGTGGTCCCAAATGCTAGGGAAGTGCTGATCAATCTCTACAGCAAAACCCTAGACGAGATCAAGGCGGTCCCGGAGGATGAGGGCTACCGGAAGGCTGTGGAGGGCTTCACGCGCCACCGTCTCAATGTATGCACCGAGGAACAGGATTGGGAAATGATCGAGAAGAAGCTTGGTTGTGGTCAGGTCGAAGAGCTCATTGAGGAGGCCAGGGATGAACTCAAGCTCATT